TGGTTTCCCAGGGGCCGAGGGGCCCCTGTCGACCCTGTTCGACTACACTTATTACAACTTGGACAGCAAATTCACCGCAGATTCGTGTATCCCACCTTGTCCCATCCAGTCTTGGGGTGTCGTTTGGTCACTATGACATGAGCAAAGCAGAGCATAAACCTGCGTAGATACACTATGTGTGCTTCTTCTTCAGCCCTTCAGTTGCTTGAAGGTCTGTAAGAGGATAGGCAAGGACCTGTAGGACTGGAGTGGGGCAAACAATCCTTAAAAGAAGGAAAAGAGAAGGCTCCAATTTCAAGCTGTCACCAGGCAGCCTAATTTCAGTACTCAAAAAATATTGGGACCCAGGGGATAGTAAAAGTAGCTCAAGTAAAGAGCTGGAAGGATAAAATTTTATAAGAGGCAGCCAGTGTATGTGCATCAAGAGCAAATCAAATCGACCTTATTTCCTTATGTCTGGAGATGGATATCAATAATTGTTTTATCTCTTGATTTTTATTCTGGCTTTTGACACATCTCCAAGGGACATTCTCAGCAGTAGATTAGACAGTCCAGAGGGAATCATTAGGAGTATGTGCACGACTGCATTCAGGCAGTCATTGAAAATGGCACTGGGAAGATAGTAGATATCCTGAAAGTGTATTTCCTGAGCTGTGGAACTAGTTGTTATTTTTATGAATTACTTGGGCAATGAATTGAGCAGAACTCTTGTAAAATTTGTGACTGACTCAAGGCTGAGAGGTAGAAAGCACTTTGGAGAATAAGTTTAAAACTCAGTGTAAAATTAGTAAGATGAAATTCAGCACAGACAAAGGAGAGAAAATGAAATGCACAAGTACAAGCAGGGAATAATTAAGCAATAGCACTGCAGAAAAGCATCTGGCAGTTGGGATGGATCACACAGGATTATGAATGGATGGATAATGCTGCTGCAAAATCAGAAACTGCTGCTGTGGGCTGCATTAACATTGGTGTTGTGTAAGGACACCATAGATCATTATTTTCTTTTACTTCATGCGGATGAGGCATAAACTGAATGTTGTCTGTCTTCTGGGTACCACCCAGAAGTGGAAGTAGAAGTGAAGAGGAACACAAGGAGATAATCTTCACACTGATTAAAACTCAGGATAAAATACATGCTTTCCGTATACGTGTATGTTACTGAAAAAAATATCAATTTAATTTGGTGTTATGTGACTGAATGGGCATCCTTTCTGGCCCTCAAATTTGGTGATAAGGTTGCTGCATGTCCATTCTGATTATCTTGCTAAATAGAAGAGTCAGGGAAGTCTGAAATCCTACTATCTCTATTGATTGTTTTAAGAGAGATCTTCACCTACAGCTTTCCTGCCTATAAAATATTTCCATTTTTTGTTTAATGCTGAGTTTGCATCCAGAGTGATAAAAAGGCAGTAAACAAATGTGGTCTTTTCTCTGAAAATACATTAGACACAACCAAAAATATTGCAATAACATAAACCCTTAGTTGATATGATGTAAGTACAGAAACTCTTTAACAGACTGACTGACTGAACAGAGTTATGAAGATGAAAAGTACAACAAGCATCCTGTTAGTAAGCCAGTCCTACAGAGTTTGCAGAATTTTGTTCAGCAATATGCATCGAAAGAAATTCTTCTTCACTCTCCAAACCTAAACCTCCATTGTTGTTGATAGGAACAAAGAAAATTAAATCCATTCTGTGACTGAATTCTTTGCTCAACAAATACCCTGTGGAAGACACCCTGAATTAGAAATCCAAACTTTCACAGGGCAGCCAAAGTCCATTTATATTGGTACTACCTTGGGATCTTTTGCAGGAAAATGTTATATAAACAAATAGTAACTAATAAAACAAATCCTGAAAAAATCAGAAAAAAAAAATGGATTCAGGCATTCTAAATTATTGCATCCTCTGCAGCTTGTTTTCTACAAGTAATGTTTTTATTGAGTTAATCTATCTGATGTGTACTTTTCTTATCCAACGGTACCTATAATTAGCTTCTATGAGAAACAAAAACTCTTTTAATACAACTGGTGTCATTTTCTTGTAAGAATTGTTTTGAGAATAACTGCATAGTTCTGAGCTCCTTACTCACAAAAATCATTTATTAAGTAATGAAATTGAATCAGTCAGGTTTAACTAAACTGAGACACACTCAGGTAGCAAGTGGTAGCAGTGATTTGCAGTGTGTTCCTACTTCACAGACATAGGCCGTGCACTTGTTTTTGCTGCCCAGAAGGTGCAGAGCAGCCTTCCAGATTTTCATAGTGAGTCAAACTCTCACTTGTACCCTGGGGTAAGAAGTAGCACATGAGCAATTCCCACAGATAAGCAGTAAATCCCCACCATAGTTTTTCTCATGACAATTTGCTTTTGCAGCCCTCTCTTTTTGCTAAAGTCATTACTACAACACAAAAAGTTTGGGAATCCTACCTGTATAAGATCTGCTTGTAAGGATGGATTTATCTGCCATAATTACTACACTTGATCATGGAAACAAGTTAAAAGTTACTGTAACAGCAAGATAAAACTCTAAAAGACAAAAAAGATGGATTGCTGTTCAGGATTATCCTAAACAAAGCAGCTGTCAAAAATGAAAATCATCTTCAGAGAGCTTGTATCTGCACTTGGTTATTGATGGTTTTCTCTCTCCTCCCCTCCTCCCCTCCTTCCCTCCTCCTTTCCTTCCTTCCCCAGCTCTACATGACTCCATATCACAGACTGAATCCCAGAGGGGCCACTTTCCAATTAGCCTCTCTCTTTAGAAGAGGGAAGATAGTGGTTGGATCACAGGGATGAGAACTGAAAGCACTGAGCAAGTGCTTCACTTACAGAGAAGGAAATCCCTATTAAAGCTGCTGGGAGGGACATCTCTTTGCAAGCATTTTTTATTCACCATCTGTGCAGATCCCTGGCTAGGAGAGAAAAAAAATAAATAAAACAGACCATTGTTTGACAACATTTTTAATTTATCATGAACAGTGGACATCAGGGGCCTCCTCCTTCTCCATCCTCTCCTGAAGGCACAAGATGGGCAGAGGCATGAATACAACTAGAACAGTTATATATCAAAGGCAATTTTATGTCCTACAAATATAATCCACATTTCTGCTTATTTCAAAGCGTTTACTATCTTAGGTGCTTATTTGTGTCTTTGTTTCTTCTTCTGATAGTCAAATCTTGAAGAAGACTTCTCAGAAGTTTACCAGATCTGGATGAAGGAGGATGTTGATAGCACTAAAATAATGACTGAGGGAGATAAAATGCTAAATGTTAAATTTACATACAAATGTTCAATGTTATGTCCCACTCAAGCCACAGTTTCAATTCAGTCACTGAAAGGGGTGTTCAGTAGGCACAGCTGATGAGCCAAGTCAATTAAATAGCCAGCCTTCCAATAAATAGAATGCAATAGTAGTACTACAAAATTAGCAGCGTAACACAGATTAAGCCTATTATTTATACAATACACAAATGACTGTCATAAATTTTCTTTGAAATCTTTCTTATCCTTCACTGTATAAATCTGCTCTTTGAATTGCATTTGTACTTCCAAAGGGATTCACTTAGCAGTGTTCCCAGTTATATGGATAGTTAGTTATATGGATAGATGACTTCCAGTCATTTCTAGAAAAATGCCACTGCATTCTGAACAACTTAAATGGTGCATCCCAGAAGCTGGGTAGGAGGTAGGTATAGCAAGTTCACACTGTTGTGCACTTCATAGATCATTTTTTATGCACCATCATGCACATAATTTCCTACATGCATCACATATGTCATACAGGATACAGCTCATTACCACAATCATATGATTCCATGCAAGACATTAAATCAGATTTATATAGGACACGAGATGCTCACTTCTCTTGCTCTACTAGTTGCCTCAGAAAATTTCCTTCACGTTTTAAGAAAAATGAATCAAAGCTGTAAAAATGCTAGAGCAAGCAAATTCTATTTATTATTACTAATTAATTTGTCTATCTGCAGGCATATATTTGTAAGGCATTAATGATTATGAGCTTGATTCTTTGCATATATACAGTGATATTAACAACTGAGCATGTATGAACAAGACAACCCATTTCTTACAGCTATTATATAATGTTGAAATAGAAACACTCCATCAAATAACAAAAACAGTGCAATAACAGAATGTTATTGGCATTTCTATATTTTCACACATATTGGTACTTTAAACATTTTAGAGTCTGCAAGATACAATGGGAATCTGTAAATTTAATCAGAAAGGACTGAAACTGGAAAGAATATAAATAAGTAACTCATCCTGATTCTAACTTCTAGAAAGTCTTGGTTTGATTTCTTGTGACTATCTGGAACCCATGCCCACACTTCAACCAAGGAAATCTTTCTCCCACATCCTTCTAGGGCATCCCTACAGGGTTTACAATAATTCTGGGATTCCTTCTGTAGAGTCACGAGTTCTTCTGTGCTCACTTCCATCTTTAATCATTATTTTGGTCAAGATGCATTTTCCATTTCAGCAGTTTGGACAATCTCATTCATCCAAGACAGGCCGCTGAGGGCCTTGGAGTTAAGGAGGTTCATAATCTTCAGCTCTGAAGGCAAGAGTGCCCCGAGTGCTCAGACCTTGAGACCTCCCTGTCTCACAGCCTAAGCCAGGAGTTCCTGATGCCATATGTCCATTTCAGTTAGCAGGCTTCATGTTTTGTTTGGAAACATAGTGGTGGTGAAAATAAAAATTTGGGGGAATTTGGAAATAGAGGAAAAATCTGCAAATATTGGCTTATACTACATAAAAATAGAAATAAATATAAAATACCAGAACTGACTGTGAACTGATGAAAGAATTTAGCCACTTGGTTCTTGTATCTATCTCAGTCCAGTAGTGAGTAGAGTGCATCTTTTAAAAAGCTGAATAAAAATCCAATCTTCTTGATGACTTCCTTTGTGTTTCTAGGGAAATGAATAAACGTCTTACAGAGGAGCAAGCCAAGAAAACCTATGATCGTGCAATTAAGTTAGAACAAGAATTTGGAGAATATTTTACAGGTATGTTTTTACTGACTAAAAAAAATCACAGGGATGTATTTTATTAAAATACCAAATCAGCTCTTCCTCTGGCATAAATTTCTTATCAGTACAGTGTGCCCATAGTAAGGACTCCTGGCTCAGGACTATTGCTTCCCAATAAACTCAAGAGCAGTCAAGGCATTCAGCACCTCAGATGTTTGCTGCCCTACATACAGGATAGCTATGCATTAATTTAATTCCCTCCCTGACTCAACTTAGCTTCTGCTGAAGTGAATAAAACTGTGATCATTGCACTTGTGCAGACTAAAGCAGAATTCCTCACTGGCTCAATGGTATCATGAACTTATGGAATCATAGAATATCCCAGGTTGGAAGGGACCCACATGCATCACGAGAGGGCAAGACAAAGGCATATTTTTCTTGACATGGAGAAAAGCAGGATTTAAGACATGTTCTGCATCCCAGCCCCAATGGGGCTGATCTAGGCAGCTCACTGCTCAGTGGACTAGTGTTTGTGGACAGCATTCAGAAGCCCCACTTGTCCCTTTATATGCTGACAGTGCACATAATATGAACTGCATTTCTAGTTTTCTGCAGTGGGGAAAGGCACTTCAAGAATATAGGCACAGCTTTGTATTGCAGCTGCTTTATCTTCAGTCACTTTGGGCCTGATCTAATTTCCTTCTTCAGGCAAAAGTGAGTTTATTCCAACAGGTGAGGAAAATTCCAGGCTGGATGTGGCTCTGGGAAGCCTGGACTGGTGGTTGGCAACCTTGCACATAGCAGGGGGGTTAAAGCTGGATGATCATTGTGGTCCTTTTCAACCAGACCCTTCTATGATTCTATGATTCTATGATTCTATGAAAATAATAGATTGTAAATGTACTGCTGCTCACTAGCTTCTAAAACACATGGATATTAGACTTGCAGCCTACCATGCAATTCGTCACATGGGACAGAACTGCTAGTTCTCTAAATCAACGGTCTAGCTCAGTCACTTTACTAGAAGCAAAGGGATGGGTCTCTCTCATGGGAAGGTGCCACTGGTTTGAACTCTGTTGCTATCTGCAAGGTGTCTGACTTTTCCAGTCAATAACACTGCAGTATAATACAATAGTATTTCTTCTAGTGTCATCAATATCTATAAGTACATTGAAAATCTGCTGACACTAAATACTGTGGAATGTATCAATTAAAAATATTGGTATGTTTTCTTAATGCAGCTATTGTCCAAGGAGATAGCTTAGAAGATATATATAATCAATGCAAACTCGTAATTGAAGAACAATCTGGGCCTTTCATCTGGATTCCTTCCAAGGAAAAATTATAAATTAGCCACTGCACCTCTGATTACGACGGGAGAATATTTAGAAGAAAACTATAATATACTATTTGGAGGCTTTCCTGTTTTTGTTGCATTTATGTTCTTTGCAGTCAATGTGAATTTTGATGAATGTACAACACAGTGTTTGAAGCCATGAAGGACACTGATGGGTCAAAGGGTAGGAACAAAAAGACTTCTACCATATAAAGCAAATCTGTTGTGTGCTGAAAGCACCAGTTGTAGGTATAAACTTTTGACATGGAGACCCTCTGTCAAGGGGAGCTAGCCACCTCTTGTGCCCATGCGGACATTTGATCAATTTCAATGGCTGAGCTCAGTGTGTTGATTGCTTTAAAGAGAAGTTCCCAGCTCTTGAACCTCATATAGGGCTTGATTCTGCAAGGCGCTCAGCATTTGACCCCAGTTCCTACACATGTGAGTAGCCCCTTGACTTGGAGTTACTTGTAATCCTTCCCTATGCCATTCAGTCCCATCCGTTCCAGTAGGACTATTCATGTGCTCAAAGCTAAGCACGGGCTTAAGCGTTCTGCTAGATCAGGGCCACATGCACCTTGCAAAATCAAGCTCAGAGTTCTTGGTCCACTTCCCACTGAAGTCACTGGTAGGACTGTCTTTGACTTGACTGGGAGGTGGATCCTATTCTAAGCTTGTCATTGCACATTTGTAGTTGGTACACCTCGACTTTGGTAACTATGCACATCTTTTGATTTCTGAAACCAAGTCAAGCATTTCTTTTTCCCCTCTGGAAACACTATTGCATCAGGAACTAATAACAATATAGTTTATTTTAATGGATTTTGGGGGTAAGAGAGGATGGAAGCATTTCACATCACACATATGTGCACACAAATACATTCCTATGTGGACACACACACAAGCATGAGGATTCACAGCACCTATGTTGACGAGGAGGGATACAACTGGGAAACGCTTTAAATTTTTTGATTGTCTATTTTATCATTTATATTGATAGAAGGCACTTAAAGATGGAATAATTTATAAAAATAAAAATATATTGATGTATAGAAACTAATTTCTATAGGTAAAAATGTTTTTGTGAGATATTTTGTAAAGATTAATTAACTGAAAGATTAAATATTTACACCCTTGTGCGACTGTAAAATGTAAAGAGGACCATCAAGTTGCATTATCCCTTTTCTGTAACAAATTCTCTATTACGAGTGACAAGCAAGATAATTCCTTAAATTGTAGTTGTCTGATTGTTTTTCTCTCAATCTAATCCTCTCCCTTGCCTCTATTTAATCACGATTAACTCCTGTGGAAAGATCACTTGAACCGACTGCAGGTCCTGCAGGACCTTTTCTGAATACAGAAGGATAATGCATCTTCAAATTGAAATGGATGACTTCTCAGAAGCAAGATGTCAGTGCTCGAGCGCAGTTACAACACTTCATCCAAAAAATGTTTTATGATTCTTCCTGTTTCTTAATGGAAATACCAAAAGTATTTGATCTTTCCTCTGTTTGTAGGCAGGCAGGTCACCAACTAACTTGTATCTTCATTCATTTCACAGTCAACAAGGGTCTTAAAAGCAAAAACTGAGGCAATGGACATTGCAAGGGATTTGGGGAAAGTCTGTGGAATTGCAGTTCGGGATGTAGAGAAGGGGAGAGGGAGGTATTTTCTCCTTGTTTCACACTGCTCTTCTTTTCTATACTGATGTCATTCTTCATTCTTACAAGGGGACAACTGCGAGAGATACAATGACAGTAAGCTGAATTGCCTTTGCTGCTGCTGGACCAAGTCTTAAAGAAAGCTCACAATCTCCTGCCTGCCATGCTGCAGCAGTCTAACACTTATTAGCTGGTGGCTTCAGCAACCCTAATGTTTAAGGATGTTTTAAGGGCAAATGCTAAACAAACTCCTCAGTCACTCGTCTCTTTGCAGCTGACATTTCAGCACCTGTCCAGCTGACAGGCATAGCCAGTCAACCTCTCCAGAGGATGCCATGAGCTGGATGTTTGAAACTTAGCCACCAGTGGTGACATAGGTAAACATGTGGGCGTTTCGGTGGCCCTGCAGTGGCCCCTCATGTACTGCCCAGCTACGGTAACTTTGAGAAGTTCACACTTCTTTTACTGCTATTTTTCTTGCCTGGCCAGCACAGATCTATATACAAGGGATTCAGTTAAGTCTCCAAAAGAGCTTTGTAACCAGAAGGGCTAGAAACATTTTTTACAATACATAAATGAATGAAAGCTTAGATTTTGGATAATTCTGCAGAAATCCACAGAGTGACCCCAGATCTTTGGATGCCATGGATTTTTCCATGCTGGCAAAGTACTATTGCCCCAGGTTGGGAAATAGCCCACTGGACCTGAAAAACCAAGTATCCTAAAACAGGAACTTCATTCTAATTTTCAGCTCTGTTTTTAAGCAATCAATCACACCTGCTTATTTGTTTCTTAGTTCAGCATGCAGCCTTTTACAGTACTATCCTTCTAGTAACTGTTTTGCTTTGTCATGTGCTGTGCTTTATGGTGAACAATAACACTATGGCTGAGTACAATCAATTTTTCCATCAGTCCTTGGTTACTGTAGTAACATTATTTATTTTTCCCTGTCTGTTGTTTGTGCTTCGAGTTGCCATTGCACTTCTCCTTTTTTTTTCTTTTTTTTCTTTTTTTTTTAAATAAAACTTATATTTAAAAACAATTCACCAAGAGAAGCAGTAAGAGGTCTTATTTCCCTTAGGAATTGTTCTCCCATTTGTTTTGTGTGTTGGCGTTTTGCGTTTCACGTTTCAGCATCCTCAGAGCTGCGGTTCATTTTTGCATTGCAGCTGTTCAGATCATACTGGGTGGTAGTGGGAGGAGGAAGAGAAACACGAGATTCATGCAAAATTACATCTGGTGCAAAAAAAAAATTATCCGAACTCACAACCCACAGCAGTCAGCACCTGAGACCATACTGGTGCTAACACAGCTTAGCGTAATCAGATTCCTTTTCTGTCCATGTAAAAGACTAGTGAGCGTCTAAACATGAGACAAATGCAAATGCTGGACCCTTTAGGAAAAGTGCCAGATCACATCCCTGGTGCTATTTCTCATGTTCTGGCACAGTGTGTAGCACCGTAGGGTCTAAGCAGAACCAAAATTACAGCATCTTTTTGTCCACCCATGAATGATCACAATGACATCTTGCTAGATTTGTGCAGATGTGCGATATTACAAACTATTTATTTCTCCTTGCCACAAAGCATCTCCCATGCACTGACTCATTGAGAGCTTGCTGACAGGGCTCAGTGAAAAGGCCCTCTTTATTGGTCTTGTGGTCTGGCCACGAACCAGTGAAAGAGCCTCTTGCTTAATTCCCCTTCCTACAGAGGTACCCTGTCCATGCTAGCGCTTTGTTATTTTTTTGGTAGTAAAGGTTGTTTCTAGAATAATATTCTGTGATGTAATTGTGTTTGTAGCTAGCATGGTTTGATGCTCCGGTGTGGATAGGGTCCTAGGAACCACTCTGTGAAAGTCAAGGATAAGGAATCTCTCCGTTGCACTGAAATTTCAAATCCTCATCCTGGAGAGCAGTCTTGAACCAGAGCTAACAACCACTACGAGCCAGCAACAGTGTTCTATCTATACAACATCCACTAATCTATTTACATCAGTTTTCTATGTAGAAATTGTTGGTTTTATACCTTCACTATTACTTGCTCATAAGAAGTCAGTCAAATTGTATTTTTGCTTTGGTTTTTCCTACTTTCTTTCGTTTTATTTTGTTTTTCCCTGACCAGAGGATTCAACAAGTGACAACACAAGACACATGTAGCGAAAACAGTGTTCATGCATAAAGGTCTTGGTTTCTTTTTAAGCTGCAGATTTAAAGCCATAGTATCTGCCATGTTCACAGAAAAGTGGTCTTCTATTGTTCATAGCATTTAATCTCAGCATTTCTTCTCTTCAGCATTTTGTCTGCCATGTCATGCATGCAGTTCACTGTGTAACTGCATCCATGTGCTCTGGCCCATGCATGCCTTGGTGAAATAGATGTACTTTCCTGTTCCATCAAAAAACAAGACATCTTGTCAACTAGCTCAGAAGTAAGAATGAGGTTGTCAATATATTACAAACAAATTGACTGTTCCTTTGCAGGACATTTTAAAGCACAAACCAGCATCAAAGTTAACAGTAAACAACAGCTTAATGCTACTCACCACATAGCCAGCCTATATCCTCAGCCAGTGGAATTATGGTCACTCCATCAATTATACAGTCATAGAATCGTTTGAGTTGGAAGAGACCCTTAAAGGCCATCTAGTCCAGCTCCCTGCAATGCACAGGGACACCAACAGTTCCATCAGCTTCTTCGGACCCCATCTAGCCTGACCCTGAATGTCTTCAGAGATGAGTCCATCCCATTTATGCCACCTGAAATTACATACCCATCCTCACTGTTACATCAATTTTTTAGCATTACTCTAAAGCACCAAGGCCCCATTACTAACAGAAGCTCAATACTTTGCACCATTATTTACTGCCCATATTACTGTAGCACCTAGAGGGCTATGTCCTGGACCAATATCCCTTTGAGGCAGGTGCAGTGAATCTGCTGAACACAAAGACACCCCATAGGCCAAGCACCATGGCCAGATTTTCAGAAGGTTTCAGCTCCACCAACATCTCACCGAGAGCAATAGGAACCGCTGCCCCATTGGCTCTCTTGAGAATCTGTCTGTAAGGTGAGGAGTGTAAGACACGAGCCATCATCTCTCACCCCGTGTTCGCAGCTTACACCTCTGGCCCTGACCTACAGCCCAGGTACCTCATTCTGGTGTAATTCAGCATTTCTAATGATGGGCGGTAGCCAGCATCTGGGCAAGATCGTTGGAAAAAAAATAAGAAAAAAAGAACAATACTTTTTAAAAAGCAACACTGCTGGCTCTTAGTGGGATAGCAACCTTTCCATTTCTGGATTTGTATTCCTACATTTGAATCGGTCAGTCAGCTCGAATTTCCGAGTGCAACAGGCTGCACGCAGTGTGCCACTCTGTCCAGCATGCTGGCCAACGTGCGTCTCTTTGGCAGGATGTTTCTCAGTCCAGCTGTAGTGTGGAGTACTCAGAATCTGAACTGGAGTTTACAAAATACTTTGTCCAGCTTACACTCCTGTTATGTGTAAATACTCTGCGCATCCATTCCATTTGTGTAAAGAATAAAGCACACACAATTATAAATTCAAGATGTATATTTCATACTAGCTGTGTCCTTGCTTATTTATTCCACTCCAAGCTCTCAGCTGTGGTTCAGTTGTAAATGCTTGATAGAGTGTTTATAAATATGTCATGAATTTTATTATAAAATATTAATATTAAAGCATTTTTACACTTTATAGCAAATGGCTTCCTCACAAGGCATAATTTGTCTTCTTTCCTTAAAGCAGAATAGAAAAAAAAAAAAAAGAAAGGAGGAATATGCTCTCAATATGTCTTGAGACCATATTAAATATGCTCTTTATTAAAAGCATATCTTGATACCCTATCACATGCACCACACATGAGAGGCAGAAATCTGGAAGTGAGATGGTAACTTCAAGAATAATTGAAGATCAAGAAACTTTTCTTTTTTGCACTGTTTTCCTTTTCTGACTTTGCAGAAATGTGGGAGTTAACACAGAGGTTCTGGTGAACTAATGTTGCTGTTACCTTATCACATTTCTACATCTTAGAAAATTACTAACGTATTTTTTTCTTTTAATTCATGATTTTTTTCATATGTCTGACACCACAGCCTTCAGGCTAAGTACTGTAATAGTTACGTGGGTGCAACTAGTTTAACAGAGTAAGCATCGGTTGTGCAATGGGCTCCCAACAGCCCAAGAACCTTGGCTGTTGGCCATCCCAAGAGAATCTTTGCAGATGTCCTGTGGGCTCTGGGAAGGCCAAGTGAACATTGTGAATTTTCAGTAGAAACAGAAACAGGACCATGACAGTGCTTATGACACACAGACAGCGATAAATTCA